AGTCATAAAAAAAATTGCTCTTTAATCATTTAAATTATAATGATTCAATCAAAGGTAAAATAAACACCAACAAACTTTGACTAGAGTCATTATACACTTATAAAGTCATGGTATTGATTTCAGCTTGGCAGACGGCCATTCAGACAGTGCTTTTACTTTCAAGTTCAAATGGGATAGTCTGATAGAGTACAGGTGCTGTGATCTGACCTAAGCGACAGGCCATCCTGAGAGCTAACTATTTCTGCAATTTGACCTGTGCTGTGGGCCTGCAATGACATGATGGGAAAGCTTGTGACCTGAACTGTGATATGTAAAGATAATGAAATGGCTTGAATTGCTTTGGGTGACTTGTTCTTTCAAATAACCTTTTCCTTCAACAGCAAAAAATCCTGCCATTATTAATAGAATAGAGCAACATCATTCCAGCACAGTAGCTCAAGGGTTAATCTCTGAGCCTTTTATCTTGATGTTGCAGTCAGTTAACCCACAGTTATTTAGAGTGGTGGAAATGAAAACAGTTTCTAGAATTAATTTTTTTTTTAGTGTTATGATTTTTTTTTTTTTTTTGAGTTAGTTCTCTGAAATATCATATTTTTCTATAATTCCATCCTTAATTAAAAATCAATTTTTTCAGTCAGTTAACCCACAGTTATTTAGAGTGGTGGAAATGAAAACAGTTTCTAGAATTAATTTTTTTTTTAGTGTTATGATTTTTTTTTTTTTTTTTGAGTTAGTGCTCTGAAATATCATATTTGTCGATAATTCCATCCTTAATTAAAAATCAATTTTTAGTCTGTGATAAAATCACAAAGTGTTTACTTGTGAGTTGTGCTGACAGGTTCTGCACATGTTTTCCCTATCTAATTTAAGTGTTGTGCTAAATATTTTGAGTTTTCTTAATGTTTTGCGATAAATTATTTTGATTTTTTAAAAAATGTTTTCATTTTTAAAAGGAGCATAAATTTCAAAATTATTTTAAAGAAATTATTCACCTTTTAAAAAACCACTGAACAAATTACTTATGTTTACACCTGCCAAAATTTGTGGACATTTAAATTCTTTATTATAAACGTTTTTATTGGATGTTTTAATTTTGAAGCATTTTACAAGCCAGACGTTTTTATTCTTACCAATAAATGCAAGTACGAACAAATACAAGTTTGTATACTAGGCTAAGTTATTGACTTGGAAAAACTGTTTGTCTAGAAATGTTATGTATGTAAATAATTAACTTTTATCCTATTTATGTTTATAAAGTATGTCTTTAGTTACATCCTTTGTGTGTGTGTGTTTATGTTCAGCTTTTGTTTTTATGTATTGTTTTAATAAAACTTGTATGTATGCAGACCTGTTTACTCTTACAATTTTGGCGTACAATGTACAATTTTGAGGTGTATACATTGTATATACTGTATGTTTATTTTTTACTATACATATAGCCTATTGAATGATTTTGTGATGATTTGGTACGATTTTAAGAGTTTGAAGGTAAACAGGTCTCATGTATGTTTTATAATTATCTGAGGAGGTAGCTGCATTGAGTATAACATGGGAGACCATTAAAGTAACTGCTTTAAGTGTAGCATGAGAGATCATTATAGTAACTGCTTCAAGTAGATCAGGGGAGACAATTGTAGTCTCGTTAAGATTAGCATATTTAAGTATACCATGGGATACCATTATAGTAGCATTAAGTATACCATCATAGTAACTGCTTTATGTATGCCGTAGGAGACCATTATAAAGATTCTTTATGCATTATATTAAATACAGATAGAAATATTGTTATTGACAGTTCTGTTCTAGGACTGAGAAAATAGTTAAATCAGTAGTTTCAGTTGACATTTTTTAAAATTGTTTTAGTTATACAAATAATTTTTTCAGGACTGGGAAACAAAAAAATTAAACCATGCCTGATATTTAGTTGTTAGCAATGTAGAACTACCAATGAGGAAGGCTTCATATAGCCTCATTAAGATGTTATCAGTGTAGAACTACCAATGATGAAGGCTTCAAATAGCCTCATTAAGATGTTATCAGTGTAGAACTACCAATGATGAAGGCTTCAAATAGCCTCATTAAGATGTTATCAGTGTAGAACTACCAATGATGAAGGCTTCAAATAGCCTCATTAAGATGTTATCAGTGTAGAACTACCAATGATGAAGGCTTCAAATAGCCTCATTAAGATGTTATCAGTGTAGAAATACCAATGATGAAGGCTTCAAATAGCCTCATTAAGATGTTATCAGTGTAGCACTACCAATGATGTAGACTTCAAATAGCCTCATTAAGATGTTATCAGTGCAGCACTACCAATGATGTAGACTTCAAATAACCTCAGTTTTCCAATGGTGCTTTGTACAAGGTTGTTTCTGCTTTTCCATTAGGTTTTCTTTTAAACTTCAGAAATAGTATTTTAGTACTCATATTTCTATTTACAATACATGATTTTGTCAATAGGACAATCCTCTCTATTAACTCATTATGAACTTCCATCTGCCAAGTTTAATCAATTCAACTTATATTACGCTATAACTCTATAATTAATTTTGTACATATATTTTCTATTGGGATGAAAATGTTAATTTCTTTAAAAACTGGAAATATTTAAAAAATCAAATAGTGTTTTTTCTTTTTTTAAATTTTTATTTCAAGACATGTTTTGATGTTTGACAAAACTTTAAATAAAATGAGGACAATCAGAAAGTATGCTTTGCTTGTAAAAAGAAAAAAAAAACTGCCTTATCCATTGGACAATATCTGGTGTGTCAAAAATTAATTTCTTTACTTAACATGTTTTATTCAAATTCATGTTTTGTTTCTAATCCTTCATTATGATACTTTACCTCAGGACTTGTATGAGTGAATTACAGAGACTGGACTTGCATAGATGAACTTAACCATACAAAATGTCCTTTGGGCCAACTACTACTTATGACTCTTCACATATTTTGTGAGAAGTTGAAAAATATGATCTTCTGACATCTTGGCCTAGGGAATATTACATCACTGTTTTCATTGTTTCTTTTACATTTTTTTTTTTCCATCTTCACATGCATATCATTTTTAAAAAAAAAGTGTTTTCTTGTTTAATTTAGTTTTACTCAATGTTGATTGCAGGAAATCCAAGTTTAATCAATGTTGACTCATCTACCTTACATTGACATTGAGAGCATGACAATTTACATACGATTATTTAATCTTAATCATAAATTCAATATTTGAAGTTTAAAAAAAACTGAAGTTCTTTTTATCAATTGCTAAATGCACACTACATAATCAAATACCTCACTTATTGAATGTATACTTGTATAATTTTTTAAAATAAATGTATGAACTTATTTTTTTTAAAAATAAATTTACTTGTATTTTGAGGATCCGAACTTCTCTCCCCATACATTTATTGTATATATTATACGGATAGAGAGATGGTTTTTGGTGGCTGGAACAAATGTGATGTGAAATATTATTTTATAGCTATGTGTTATATGGGCATGGTGTCAGTTCTCAACTATTACTGACGAGGTAGTGATCTATATTTTTAGCTAAGATGTTTACAATCTAAAAAATAGATTCAACTGTTTAATGAATACATATTAAAGTTAAGCTTTTGAAACTTTTTTTATGTTGTTGTTCTACCTTTTACAAAATAATTGATCATAATTTTATCGCCCAAACTAAACAGATTTATATTAGTCTATCAAGGGTTGTGTCATGTGAATTTAGGATTTACCAATGACCAGTCATCTTCAGGACGTGAAAAAATGGGTTGTTACAAGTCAATGGTTGACACTCTTAATGGATGTCAAATCAAAACATATTTCTGTACCAGTTGTGATAAGTAAAATGGGGATTGACAGTTGTGCAAGCACTGAAAGTTTGTAAGAGGTTTGTTGTTCCACATCAGTATGTTATCTTTGCTACATGTATCCTATTTGAAATGCTTTTTTTTCTTCCAAGTGCCTATGTGTGCCACTTTTTTCTCAGTAAAGCTAGTCCTAATAAATGAACTGAAATTCATGGCATTCACTTTTGAAATACATTTGCATGTATCTAATTGTAAAGAATTTTTTTTTTCATTTCATTGTTTAATTAATATAATATAAATGTAATCTTTCCTCTAAACGTTACAATGTAAATATACCTTTATATACAAAAAAATTATTTTTAAAGTAACCATCTTGTATAGCTTGTAGTAAATATGTTATCCCATTATATATATTCAACTAATGAATCTCCTTTTTAATTACTGTAATTTATGTATTCTCTTTATTTAAATGTATTGTATTTAGTATATAAAAAACTAAATTTTGATAGTATTTTATTGTTTTCTTTTAGCAAAAATATTTTTTTTCCTTGTATTTATTTTGGTTGGTCTTCTTGTTAGACAAACAAAATAACTCAGGAAATCTGATTTTTAAAAAAAATAATAATAATTTTTCTAAATGTTATTTTGCCCGATACCCTGCCAATGAGACCACTAAATGGCAAGTTTACTGCATTGTGGGCATTGTCTCGTCTTGACACTAATTTATGTCATCTATTGCAGTAAATGTATTCAGTATTCTATTTCAACATATCTGACGCTACATTTTAAATGTTATTCACTCAGTTCAGCAAGACTTAACTTGTGCACAAGACTTGCTTGAAGACAGCCATTGATAATGTGTGCACCACCGATATATTATATAGCGAGACTTAATTTGTGAAACTTCATCATGTTACGTGTGTAATTAAATTCACTGGTCGGACTGGTACAAACTGGTTAAAAAAGCAATGTGGGGCAAACCTTAAAGGAAGAATGAATTAAACAGCAAATGGGACAACAGAATATATTGATAGACAAAGGTGAAGCACAGAAATTATTTGTTGAATAAATGCCTTTTTAAAAATATTTATTTTCTCTGTGCCTTGTTTTGAGTCTGCTTAAGAAAGGTTTCTGCCGCTGCATTTGCTGTTTTTTTCCTGTATAAATGAATCTTTTTTTTTTTAAAAACTGAATTTTAATGTAATAAGAGTTATGACCCTTAATTTTAGCCCAACGCAAAATTAGATGACAAATTTAAGTGAGAAATATTTTATATACCGGTAACGACATAATAGTTTGGTTTTAAGTCAGCTTGTTGTCCAACCAATTATCATACCTAAGGTGAATTCATCCACCTGGTTTTGAGGTACAACTATTTTGAGTGCTGCTCCAGATGAAAAGCTAACAAGTTGGTTCCTGCTGTTTGTTTGATCATATCTTCCAACATACAAAAAAAAATTTGCCATGAGTGATATTTTTTAAAATGTATAAACTTTTACATACTTTATTAAAATGTCATTTTCAAAACCAACAACTACAACTGTTTGTTCTTCTTTTTACTTTTTTTTCTCTATTTTTGTTGAATTTCTATGCTGTCACCACCTTTATCATAGTTTATGGCAAATTATGTGAATCACTCTGAATGTGTACACATAATAAATAATTGATGTCCATTCCTGTGAGCAGTGGATTTGATTTGACTAGCCAGACGAATGAGCTCGTTTCCTGCCATCAGCACACCAGATTGGCTTGTTGGCTTGTTAGCTTCATGCTTTTCCTGGGATTCATTGTTTCAACCCAGCATAACAGTTAACAGCAAGCACCTGTGGTACTGAATGGCCAGCAACAGTCACGACATGTACTTTTAAAGGTGCAACTCCAGAATTGAATACCCGGTACACATTACTTTTAGCTTCTTAGAAATCTTTATGTACCCATCAAATGTATTTGGTATGGAAGAGACTTAATATGGTATAATCTTATTTTGCATAATGTTTCATAATAGAATATTGAATCCCAAGGACAAAAAAAAGCTGATTATAAAAAAAACAACAACGTGACTTTCAATTTTATCAAAGAAGGAAGATTATCTTTCAGAATTTCTGATGAGTACAAGTGGAAGCGTGCAAAAAAATATAGCGGTGTTGTACACTTATGTGTACATTAAACTAATTTACTAAATATAACATTGTTACTCATCTTACTACACTACTATTTAGTTGCAGATTCGTGACTTGGAAGCATGAGTATTATAAACAATCAACTCTAGACTGGGAACTCTGTCAAAGAATATTTTAAAAAAAAAGTAATTTGTCATGTATGAATTGTTATAAATTAACAGCATAATTTTGACAGAAGTATGATTCTTGTTCTAGACTGTGCCTAACACATACCGGTATCATACTTTTGAACCGCTCTGGACTAGAAAAGTCCATTGTTTAAGATGTGAATTTTAGTGGGTGGTAGGTATAGTATAAGGCTGCATGTAAAATATATATATGAGAGATTAATTATTAAACTGATATGTGCTCTGCACCACTTTAAATCACATTTAAATTGAAAGAAACATGCCACATCCATATTAAAACAGTGTATTTTAAATATATGTATATATATATATACAAGTACAAACCTTCTTTATTAGACAAAATCATTGAACAGACAGAATGACATAATTTAAGTTACATGTTATTTTATAAAACATACATAAGAGCATTCAGCTTAAATTAATTAAAACAAATGTAAGACCTCATAGATTTTAATTCATGCATCTAAAACCTATTATAAACATAGTAAAGCAAGGATTAAGAAATGTCTATGTTTAGGTTCCCTTGCAAAAACTGTAAATGTTGTTGGTCTACTGCACAAAAGGAGTGTTATGTTGATGGCTGGAAAATGATATGGTACGGTATGTACAATTATTTAAAAAAAACACAAATTTTTTGAATTGTCATGACAAGAAAAGAATGCTAAAAGCCATGGCAACACAACAAAATGCTACATAAGGACTTTTTCTCTCTCCAATCCTTGCAAATTTCCAAAAGGTACCTAAAATCCTTAAAAAAAAACAAAAAAAACGGAATAATTAAAATTTTATTTTAAAGAAAATAATTATACTTAACAAAATAATAACATTACATAATAAAATATTAAAATAAATAGAAGATCCTGTAATACACAATGTCTCATTTTTAGCTCATTTAGTAAATCTCTGCCTATTGAGCTTTTAAAAATATATCAGCAAGGATCATAAAACATAAGAATGTAATAGTTGTGTAATTTAAAGGAAAATTGTATGGCCCCCAATCATGCCAAAATGAGTGTCTGGCAGGGCCACAAATATAAAAATAGATTCATTACTATAAATGACACTTAAAGGTAGACATTAATTTTACAAAATTTAAAAATACAAATTAAAATTCTCAATTACCCTGTTTTACTCCTGTCCATGAAGCCTGGTGCTATAGCTCTGAGGTAAGTGCAGGTGCAAATCATAAGCAAGACAACTGTCAGGAGACTTTGGAAGTTGAAAATAGCTGACTGATATGACAGAAAAATGAAAAGAAAAATGAAAGTTCAAAGTATAACATTTAAATGCAAAGAAACAATTAAAAACAAGAAAGTGATTAACAGTATAAATAGTGGGTTGAGGGATATACACGGTGTACAGATCTGATAAATATTGACTTTCAAAGTTCAATATGAATATACTATACTAGTGTAGTTATAAAAAAAATTGAATAATAAAATACATAGACATAGGCCTAGGCTAGTTTATACACTATAATATTCGCTTTTGGCTGCCTTTTTAAATAAAATGCATTTATCATTTATGTTTTTAAAAAAAATTCTCTCAGACTCATACTCATACTATTTTTATTTAATTTTAATGAGCTCATTCTATTCTACTCAGTTAATGAGTTAATACTAAGCCAAGTGGTTTTAGTTTTAACCTGTTGTATGTAGAGAAGTGTTTTCTTAGTTTAAAAAAATAATTTCACATTTCATTTTCATATTCAACTTGTAACTTACTTTAACTTAACATTAACATCAATTTCTATTATTATATATGAATATTATAATTTAATAATATTATAATTATGGCCAGGCATGGTTATTAATATTATTATTATTATTATTATAATAAAGAATACAGATAATTTTATCATGGTTCATTGGTAGCTTAGTCTTAGTACTAACAAAACATAATATTAGTAAATATGAGTAATCTACTTACTTAGTTAACTAGTATTAGTAGTTTACTAAGACTAAGTCTAAGTCAGTAATCTAAGTCTAGTCTAAGTGATCAACTTAGCCAACTAAACACTGGCATGCCATTCAATAAATCATTAAAATAATACTAATACTTATGATAATAAAATTAAAACTTATTATCATTATTTTATTAATATTATATTATAATATTTTAATAGTATTCATTATTCATTATTATTATTCAATTATATTTATTGTCACAAAATCAAAAATTGTGTTGTTTATTAATTTATACTTCTGATTATAAATTACTTCAATACAGTTCTATACAACAATTTAAGTTTAAAGTTTTGCAAACCAACAAAAATATAAAAGTTGCCAAAAAAATATAATTACCATTATATTTAAATGAAAAGCAGTACCAGATGCATACGTTGCATTCAGCTTATATCGTTTACAAAATGTGTAACTCCATTAATACTATTTACCGAGATCCAATTATTTTTACATAGAGCCGAGATCAGTACATTTCAAAATAATTAAGATAAATGCTTTAAAATAGCAACTTAATAAAGTTACATTATGTGATAATTTATATTAGTTAGCATCGATTAATGCGAAAAAGTTGTTTGATATCATTGCAAACCCTTGGTTAAAAAACTCCACGACGGCCTTTCTGAAAGGGGGAGGACAGTTGACCAGCGTCCCATTTTCTGCTACAGAAACGATGAAAGAAAAATGCCCCCCAAAAATGGCATTATCAATGAAACAGGCCAGGTTGCAGAAAAATGGAGAGAAAATCCACAGGACGATCTAAACTCCAAGAACATATCTCCTGAGGCCAAAATCCTGGATCGGAGTTAGATTTTCGAATGTTTGCACTCTGTATCAGTTAGGAAAACTGGCACAATATACATATCGGTGGTCGCAAACACAAAAATAAAACGCATTATTTTGTTTTCCTATATATTATAGTGCGTTCAAAACGAAATTTCACGAAAATTAAATCGTGTGAAGTGAAAAAAATATTTCGACCAAGCCTCCGTTCGATCAAATTTCCGTCGATCAACTTTCCGTCCACGCAATTTCTTTCAAACAAAATTTCCGGTAACCGAGGGGGCCTCATGCCTCTAAGGGTCATCACGCCTCTTGGAAACCTCAGGCCACTAGGGGGTCTCACGCCTCTAGGAAACTTCATGCATATAGGGCCCCGAACGTGAGGGGGCCTCCGTGAGGCGCCTTTCATATATGTCCATATATTTCAGAGGGGTGTCAAAGGAGGGCGCGGTGGTCAAAGTGATAGTGAGCTGCGCTGCGGTACCAAGAAAAAATAAATTTCAATCAGTCACGGGTCCGTATCCTGGTGCTGGCACCCCCACGGGTAGATGATGCTCGTTAAAACCTTGGCTAGGAGAAGGAAACTCCGACTTCAAAAAAATCCTCCGCTGCCTTGCGGCTATACCCTTCGGGAAAGGCTAAGGGAGTAAACCCCGACAGAAAATCAGGAAATGGAGCACCTACAGGCGGTCTATACATAAGACTCCCATGTACATACCGGCAGCTCCTGCGACGCCAACGGCAGCCAAGCCGCATCGACGCAAGTCGTTCCCTTGGTTACACCATTGACGTGGAGAGGGTGGATATGCTGTATGGGCAGCAGCTAATTCCTCTGGAGAGGACACTCCAGCGTCGCCGCAAGGTGTCGACAAAACACGGGAAGCAGCAGTTACCGGTTATAAGCCAAAAGCTCAATTGACGTAGAGCTAGGAGCCAGGGGCTACTTCCGACGGTGGGAGAGACTACCAATGTCTCACTGGACAGCTACCGCCCGCCTCAAACTGGGCAGCCCCCCGTCAAATAGGTGCTATCCCGTCATGGCCTGCCTTCTCCACTGGGTGCGTGGAGATTAGAGTGCCACTAAGCCCTGCACCAAGAAACACAAAAAAGAAAAAGAATCGATAGAGAACTTAAAAGGCTAAAGATTGACATCGCTTGCCTTCAGGAGACCATAAAAATCGATAATAAAAACTTGGAGGTTGTGGACAGCTTCACCTACTTGGGGTCCAAGGTCTTCAATACACTGTCCATTGAAGAAGAAATTAACAGCAGAATCGGCAAGGCAGCTGCCACAATGGCTAAACTAAATAAACGGGTCTGGCAAAACACCAAGCTAACGGAGAAAACCAAACTGTGCGTCTATCGAGCTTGTGTCATCAGTACACTACTATACGGGAGCGAGACATGGACCACTTATACATCCCAAGAGCGCAAGCTTAATAGCTTCCATATGAGATGCCTGCGTCGCATCCTTGGCATTAAATGGCAAGAAAAAGTGACTAATAGTGAGGTCCTAATGCGTGCGAATACCCAAAGCATGTTCACAATCCTTAGTGAAAGACGCCTGAGATGGCTAGGTCATGTTAAAAGAATGAGTCCCGGCCGCATTCCGAAAGACCTCCTTAATGCGTGCGAATACCCAAAGCATGTTCACAATCCTTAGTGAAAGACGCCTGAGATGGCTAGGTCATGTTAAAAGAATGAGTCCCGGCCGCATTCCGAAAGACCTCCTATATGGTGAACTTGCTTCGGGAAAGAGGAAAACAGGTCGCCCACGTCTGCGATTTAAAGATGTTTGTCAAAGGGACATGAAAGCAGCCAAAATACATACAAGTGACTGGGAGTGTAAGGCAAAAGACCGATCTACGTGGCGCACAGTTGTCAAAGAGGGCGTCATGGTAGCCGAGGAGCGAAGAATGGAAGAGGCTGCAGACAGAAGAGCTAGGAGAAAGGCCAAAACATTTAGAAGCACGGAACTCGCGTGTAAAAACTGTGGTAAAGACTGTCACTCAAGGATAGGACTGCACAGCCACTCGAGAAAATGCAACCCAACACAATGGTGATGCACCATCGTCTCACGAGACGGAAGGATGCCGATATTTCAGAAGTACACATTTTCTCTAGTGGCGGAATTATCAATATGGTTAGTGGTTACACGCGAGCAAAGAGGAAACATTGATGAAGCAGAATGGAGGTGCCGCAGTGGTGGGTGGTGTTTTCTCCTCAGCTTGAGGGAGCTCCATCCCCGGGGACCCAACCTACGCTCCATGCTTAGGGGCCCCCCCCCCCCAAACTCCTAAGAACGTCTCTGCTCACGATTTTAGTGGCACTATGCTGCCAATATTATCAGTGAATACTGAAATACTTTTGGCAATTTAGTTTGCTTTCAAAATGAAAGCGGGAAGACCGCTTATCCAGTTTATTTGAAGAACATTTTTTTTGTCTCGCATCAATTAAATTGTGTGGTTCTTGCTTTAGAAATAGTTTATAACGATTATAAATTGTCAGTTTGAAAAAAATCCATTAATAATCATTTTCTTGGTGGGTGTGGGGGAGGAGTAAATCAAAAAGTCTTACAAAAGGCACCAAGCGTTCATTATTTAGTAATTTAAATGAAGAAAATTATAATAGAAATTCAAAATGAACTTGTTAAGTTACTGCATTTGTTTGGAAGTTTACGCTGTCTCATTTTCTGTCATATAAATCATATATTAATAAATATATGACGTCTTTTGCAAATATTTTCTTTCTTCTTTTTTATACATTTAGATACAATTCATTTTTTTTTTTAAAAATGACTGGCTATTTAAAACAGGGGCGGGGCTTACTTAGAAACCTCCTCAATCCGTAACCCAAGTTTCGTTCGACGCCCTCAATCTCTTCTCCCTCCCGAATGAAAGTGACAGTACCAACACCTCTTAACCTAAAAAAAAGCGCTGCATTCAATAAAATACAACTAGATCAGCGGTTCTCAACCTGGGGGTCGCACGACCCTTTTCCAGGGGTCGCCTAAGGCCTACTGAAAACGCATATGCTTACAATTATGAAGTAGAAACGAAAATAATTTGTGGCTGGGGGTCGCTATACGTAGTTGGACTATAACTAGGTACGAAACTGGCATCCGTCCATCACAACGTGACGATGGAGTGGGCTTCGGAGGACGAAATAAACATGAACTGAATTACTCTTCAAGGAAGATAAGCTCATTCCCAACAGCAAATCGCCTCTCTCCACGCCAATGGAAAACGCAAGGGAACATCAATGGATGATACAGCTTGGCACCAGTGACGTCGTAGGAGTTGCAGGAGTTGTCGGAATGATTCATTGTATCAATGTTATCTGCCTTTCGGGACTCCATCTCCGGGTTTGATTTCAGAGTGTCCTTCTCTTAGATGAGTAGCCATCCAAGGTTAACGAGTCTCATCCACTCGGGGTGCTGGTGGTGTTTTTTTTTTTTTGGTTTTTTTTTTTTGACTGGTCTCTGGCCACCCCTTTACGAAACTATGCTGGGGCTAAAAGCATACCCTCGTGGGGATCCACTACCAGAATGAGTTTATGGTTATGTTTGGCGGTGGCGACGAAGTCAGAGCTGGTCCCGGGCATCAAAATTCTAAATTATCTTCTTCCGGCTCCGAGTATATAGAGGGTAAGGAGCATCAGCGCATTACTGTGCCCAGGACCTAAGCTGCCGTGAAGACGGCCCTGAGGTTAGGGTTAGTGCTGCCCTGGGTGGGCCAAGACGGCCCTGAGGTTAGGGTTAGTGCTGCCCTGGGTGGGCCAAGACGGTCCTGAGGTTAGGGTTAGTGCTGCCCTGGGTGGACCAAGACGGCCCTGAGGTTAGGGTTAGTGCTGCCCTGGGTGGGCCAAGACGGCCCTGAGGTTAGGGTTAGTGCTGCCCTGGGTGGGCCAAGACGGCCCTGGGGTTAGGGTTAGTGCTGCCCTGGGTGGGCCATCTTCTACTATTAAAAAAATTTAAAAAATCATCATACAAAATTTTTTTTTTTAATCTGCAGTTGGTAAAAAATGAGTCTACAAATATATATTTTTTAAACAAATAATATAAACTTGCTGTTTACAAGGCTGGACTAAGACCCTGAGATATGATAAGCTGTTAAACTATTTTCACCCTCGCACATTAGTGACCTATCTAAGCTCAATATTCAAAATTTTTAAAAAAATAAATAAAATCGTTAAAATAAAACATCGCTGTTTTAAAGAAAAAAAAATCAGATTTGTTTCTCTTCACTACAGATTTTTACGGAACAAATATTTGCTCGTCATACTTTTGATGGTTGTCCTTAAATGTACAAACGTTTGGAAGCCATGCCATATACCTAGCAGCAGTGCATTTTTTGTTCAGCAGTTTTTGGTAGCGTCTCTTTGAGATTGAAAGTGTGGGTGTGTAGGTAGGGGGGGGGCGGTTCGAGGGCATCGAAGGCTCCCGAGTGAATTAGTGGAGGGGAGGGGGATGAGTCTGGGGAGGGGGGGTCTGTTTGACTTAATTATGATTTGTATATTTTAAAGTCTTAAAAAGTTAAGGTGGAGTGTAATGGAAGGCACGATTTATAATTTTAAAATTAAAAAAAAAACTCTTTAAAGTTTTCACGTTTCCATGATGTGGTCTTTTAATGGTCGGTAAATATTGATGTCAT